CTGTCGTTTTCGCTCAATGCTTTTGTTAAATCTTCGCTCTCTTGGTCACGGTCTTCCTCTGCTGTTTTCAGTTTTTCTCTCAAACCAGTTATCTAAAAAGATTTTAACTGAAAATTCCTTCTTCTATATCTGACAGCGTCTGGTAAACTTAGCATATAGAAGAGACTGCAAAACTGACTAAAGGTTATGTAAATAATGACAAGCCGGAACTAATCTTTTATCCTGTGTTGTCAAAACAAAGTTTTTTTGGATCAACAACACAGTAGTGTTAAGTCATGTCAAAAATGGGAATAAGTAAAATACAGTACCTCCATTGTCAGATTATTTTTATCTTTTTTTAGCTGCTCTATTTCATTTTTTAAGTCATGGAATTTTTTAAGACGTCTAGCCGCATCTTGATTCCCGGGAGCATCATTTTCTTCCTCCTAAACGAGGGAAAGAGTTTTAAAAGCAAAAGCATTCAGTGAAACTGAATAAATTCAGCTAAGGAGTACTCGAGATGATATCATTAAAACAAAGGGTTAACGAAGTACTAAAAAGCATTGTGACTTCTACGGAACAAAAGAATTGAATTTTAGCAAGAAAGAAAAAACTGCTAACTTGGCCACTATCTTCGTTCTCGCCTTCCAAAATCAGAATTCGGTTATTATTTGCCATAATGTTGTCACCGACAAAGGTGATTCTGAATTGAGGACTTATTATAAAAGAAAGTTTTATACAGATTTTTAGAATGAAAACCGTAGTAGAAAATTATCGAACACTTTGGAGTTTATCTTAGCACAGCTTCTTCGTCACTGACGAGTGTAACACTGATAACGATTATACTGATGCTGCGTTGCAAACTTTTATCTAACAGAGACCTATTTCTTATACTTTTCTGTCTGTCACCAATGCTTCCATAAACATTTTTTTGTCAAATATCTATTTTAAAATATTTTGAATTTTTTTTTTCTAAAATAAAATGTTACTTCATATCTGATTCGCATCGAACAGTTTTGACAGTTTGGCAGTGACAATTTTTTCATTTTTCTTTGTTTCTTCTTTTTTACACAAAATAAAAAATAGAAATCTTTCGATAATAGATAGATTTATTACTTTTTTGAAGAAGCTCCACTAACCAGTACCTAAAAACAGCTAAACAAAAATAAAAGTAAATAAAAGGTAGAAGAGGTTTCCTTAATTTTACTTTTTTGAGTGCAGTATATCTGATGAGAAATAGTTAATTTAGTTGAGAACTTCTACAGACATGAGGAAAATTGAATAGATGTAAGAAAGAGCAATTGTCCATTTTAGATTGAATGATTACCGCAAAACTGTAAGTGTTGTTAGCATTAAATTTTTTTGTAAGACAGCAAATAGAGATGGTATGACCAAAAAGAAAAAAATTAGAAAAAAAGAAAAGGTAAATGTGATGATTAATAGTTTTTTTTTTTTGTCGTTATTCGATTAAAAAGCTGAAGTTTCTTATTGGTATAGCAAACAATTTTCTTTCTTCAGTATAGTTAAGAGCAAAAGAAAGACTTTAATAAAAATATCATTTTACTCTTTTTTTTCTACTTCGGTTTTAAAACAGCATTTATATTTTGGTTAAAACTTTTTACTATTAGAACCTCTTTTACTAATAAAGTTGGATAAAAAAGTTGCTTTACTTGGAAATTAATTGCTTAAATAATTTCACTAGTAAAAAATTCTGCCTTTTTTCAGTCAGAGTCATAGAATTTAGTAGTTTTTGATAGCGTTATCAGAATGTACACCCACCAACACGTAAAATGAAGTGGAAAAAAGTGAATACAAAAGTGAATACGTTTGGCACCTGTAAAAAGAATAATATCATTTTAAGTAGACCGCCTCATTCACTGGTTAGAAAAAGAGAACTTTTGTTAATTAGAAATCGTTCTTAGTATCCAATGCAGTTATTATAGTTTCAAAACTATAATAACTGCAATTTTTGAAATAATGCAGTTATTATAGTTTCAAAAGAAGGTCACTATCGACTCTAACAATTTCGCTATAAATTGCTTGTTATTCTCGTGCTTAATCCACAATTTTACTATCCTGTCCAACAGCGTTCCCACGCCATTTGTCCAGCCAATAAAAAATGCTTTTAAACAACTGTTCAATAGATGCCCCTTTAATCTTAGGCCACAATACATCTGATGCACTTGACTATATAGTGTCTGTTCTCAGGTTTCACAAGTTTTTTTTTTTCAAAATTCACATCAAGTGACAGTTACAAAAAAAAAAAAGAGACCTTTCTTTCCTTTTTTGTCTTCTCAATTAAAATGAATCATTTATGATTGCGATCAACGCAGCACAACAGCATGGGCACTAAACTTTCAAACACGACCTAAAGATGTCACATTCCCTTTATAAAAGCTGTTCTTCTCTTTGTCGCTTTCTACTCGTCTTAAACCCGTGCCTATCCGGTTCATCAGCTCCGTCAGAAGACAGTCCTTTGCAGTTCCTATGAAACGGTGACTTTATATTGAATCTGTTATCAGCTACATGTCTTCCCATATTTTCAAATCAATCTCTATCCAGCTGCAAAACGTACGCCACAATACATCTGAAACAATGCTGCTTCATTATGGACAGTTGCGAAGGGAGAACCATTACAGTGCCACTTCTAAGAGTGTAAAAAAAAAAAATATGTCGACGCTCTAAAATGCTTTACTCATTCCTTCGTTATTAATATCTGACGAGGAACTGTAGCGTAATCTATGTTTGCCAGTAATGTTTCACTTTGGTCTTCATTGTTTCGTAATCAGCTGCTTATCTGGAATGTATCAGCATTTGAAACGTAGAAGCGCTTTTCCACACACGTCTAGTGTTAGTAATAGTTACAGAACTGTAGTTTATTGATTAAAAAATGAAACGATTAAGGGACAAGAAAATGAGGGAATAAATAAACCAAAAGAAACAGTGTCCACTTACAAACTCATTTTCGTCATTAGTAAACCGCAGTGAGGTTGAGGTACTTGGCATGGCTGACGTTGAGACAATAGGCAGTGGATACCCAAATAAAAAATAACTGACAATTCCCTTTAACTCTCTTAGCACATTAATCTATACATAGTATACTCTGAAGATTAAAAAACGTAAAGCTAATGCTTTGATGTTGCATAAACTTCTTCACTACCCAAGTGGTAAAGATTTTTTCTAGTTTTCCGCATGTTTCTCGGAATATCGGCATATTGCTGTTTATCCAGGCAGTACTATTCTTTTCAACCGCACAGCACATTTAATCTAAGTTTTCAACGAGCGCTCTTCTCTCCGTCTCTTCTTTTTCTTGCACTATGTTCTCCGGTCTATGGCACGGTTGTGGAACAGAAGACGGTAACGAATTGCAGAACCGCTTCTTCCACACCATAAGTTATAGCGAAGCTAATATTCCAGAACTTCAAGACACCGGGAGAACTCTGAGCAATCAGGATTTTTGGAAAAACCATTTGGTGTGGCAGCAAGCGAAGCAAACTGCATTCTTGTGCTTCAAGAGTCACTTTAACTGCGTATGACTTTGAATGTTTTTCAAAGATTTTGTCGAGCCCCTCGAAGATTTTTAGGACATTATTACACATACATGCGTTCGCCCTCAAACGTGCTTCTTTTGACTTCCAACCTTAATTCATTCATTGTATATGCATTTTCAGCACCATCTAATTCATCTATGATAGTTTCAAACTTGTTTGTTTAGATCTCGGTAATTCCCCAACAGTCTAGTGCTGAAATAAACCCTTTTGTTATCCCATAATGCAGCCTCCATGCCAGCAGATGCAGGAATTCTGTCACTACGATTCTAG